GGGAAGGTGTGGTGGGCTCGGGGCCCATTCTGTCACATCTGTGCAGCTCAAGTCAGACGCTGGCCTCACCTCCCTCTCCAAACCTCTGTCCGCCAGACCGGGGAGCCCCCTTCGTCTCGCTGGCACGTTCTGATTCACGTCAATAGGTGCTGAAATACCAGATCTAAAGAGGCTTCCTTTCATCTTACCCTTTAATCATTCTTTGTCATTTCACTTATTAAAAAAATGCTACAACGGACATTAATAGGTCAACTGACAAAATCAGAATGTGAATGGAAATTAGACAAAAGTAACAATGCTAAGTTTACTGAGGTTGAATGGTGTAGTGTGGTTATGTGAAAGAATATTCCTGATTTTAGGAAATAAACACACAAGTATTTAGGTGTAAAGGGTGGTGACAGATGCATAAATTACTCTCAAATGGACCAGGAAAAATACAGGTATATACAGACACACACAAATACACACATACACTCACACGCAGAGCATGTAAATGATAAACAAGTGGGATAGAAGTGTTAGCAACACATGAACACAGGTAAAGAGTAGATGATAGCCCCTTATATTATTCTTAATCTTGTAACTTTTCTCCATGTCTGAATTGATTCCCAAATAAGAAGGTTTTCAAAAAAGGATAAAGGACAATGTATCAGAACCAAGTTAATTAGCACTTGTTGGTATTTTGATATAGCGGTGGTCAGTCAATAACTTAGGATAAGCAAATTATTCCCTAATAATAATCTTTCCAGAACCCTCGAAATTTAGAAAATAAATGCCCTAAGGCACAAAACGGTACCTAGAGTAAAGTTCCCTTTTTAGAATTTACAATTTACCTGCTGAGTAAATGTGATGGGTTTAGATACAAACAAACCCAATATTTTCTGGCCTCTGCAATGTTTGGAAGCTAAGGATGACCAGAAAGGATGATTTCTGGGCAACAGCCACGATATGCAGACCCACTGCCAAGTTTATATAGGAGTCTGGAATGTCATCGACTTCAATTACACCACCATCTAGATAAATAGCAGTATCAGAAATAATAGTAATAAAATTACCATTTGGTGCAATTGCTACCTGCAACAGGTAGAAGTATGAATTTAAAACAGTATTTTGGGGGGGCAGGGAGGTGGGATTAACGGTAGTCAATATCTGCCTGGGGAAGGAGGGGCACAGCTCATCAACAAGGGTACCTGCACAGTGAATATTTGTATACCTAACTCTTACTTGTACCCCACAATTTTAAAATAAAAATTTTAAAAATAGCATTTTTAGTTTTGTTTTCTGGCTTCCAAAAATTTCGTATCTTATGCAGAGTTTGGTGCTTTTTCCTTTCTCAGCTTGCACAACTGCAAGTAAAAGCCCAATTCGTTGTGGCTTGCATGGGTCTCTAAGCCATCTTCAAAACGGAGGAGCAGAAGCCAGCAGAAGAGCTACTTAAATCACCTCAACCCCATCTGCGGCATTCTCTCGTGCAAGCCCCTCTGCACAATGAAAGAGACACGAGGCTCTCAGAGCCTTCAATCACACCATCCAGGAGGGCAGATAAATGCCTCTAAAATTCCCTTTCATTTTATGAACAGAGACTTCCTCAGTTAAGAGACCTTTCCTCTTTCTGCTTCCCCCCTTTTCAAAGGGCTGAATTTTAATACAAATCTAATTGCTCACTCGATCAGGGCAGGCAGATGCTGCGCAGATCCCTCCGTTCCCCGCTACCACATGTCAGCGCTGACCTGAAACACCCCTCCTCTCCCATCACAGGCCTCCAGGAGCAAACTGTCAGGGGACGTTGGCACTCCGGGCCGCACCGGCGACCCAGCCGTACCCACACTGCAGACACTGGGGAACCACAGAGATCACAACACCCATCCCTAAGGCTAGGCTACTTCTTTTCACTTTTTACTTAAGAGGGGAGTTCGACCCCAGGGTTAACCCTTTTTGTGCTGAAGGACACTGCTGTGGAGAGGGCTGAGTTCGATGATGTCTAGCGCCATCTAGTGAGGATAGATCTCAAGTGACACGGGGTTCTTTAGGAAGTTAAGAAGGTATGAACAAGTTCGAGAAGCTTCAAAGGACGAAAAATAAACGGGATGAAATCCCGTTAATAATATCGCTTAATATTTCACCTACTCAAAATAACTCAAAAAAAGAAACTTCTTCCAGCAGAACAAAACCATATTTGCATAATTCAGTACAGTATTGTACTAAGTTGCCCGCTCCTATCTGACAGGTAGAAGACAATATTACCTCAAAGCTACTGGCTTTAGAACTGTAGTTTTAGCTTATTCTCCTAAAACCAAGCATACATGAATTAACACATGATACATATAAATTGTATAGAAGAAATGTGGTGGCTCACGCCTGTGACCCCAGCACTTTGGGAGGCCGAGGTGGGAGGACTGCTTGAGACCAGCCTGGGCAACATAGCAAGACTTCATCTCTACAAAAAATCAAAATTAGTCGGGCACGGCAGCACATGCCTGTAGTCCCAGTAACTGGCGAGGCTGAAGCTGAAGGAAGGATCGCCTGAGCCCAGAAAGTAAGACTGTGCAGAGCTGTGAGCATGCCGCTGCACTCTAGCCTGGGTGACAGAGTGAGACCCTGACAACAAGAAGAAGAAGAAGGGAGGAAGGAGGAGGAGAAGGGGAGAAGGGTGGGGGAGTGGGAGAGGAAGACGAGGAAGAGGAGGAGGAAGAGGAAAACAACACTGGGGGGACGAAGAAGGAGAACAAAGGGAAGAAGAGGAAGAAATTTGAAATTTCTTTTATAGAGGAAATCTCTCCGTTGATAGGGTAAATTTGGCCAGATACAGTGGCTCATGCCTGTCATTCCAGCTCTTTGGGAGGTAGAGGCAAGATTACCTGAGCCCCGGGGTTCGAGACCAGCCTGGGCAACTTGGGAAGCCCTCATCTCTGCAGCAATTTTTAAAAAAAAAATTAGCTGGGTGTGGTGGCACACGCCTGTAGCTCCAGCGACATGAAGGATCGCCTGAGCATGCAGGTCGAGGCTACGGTGGCCGTGAGAGTGCCACTGCACTCTAGCCTGGACGAGAGAGTGAGACTCCAACTCTAAAAAAAGGGCAAAATACGGACTTTGCAGCAAACCAGATGGACTTAGAGTCCATCATACTCAGTGGTGATCTCTCACAGAAACAGAGAACTGAATGCCACATCATGCCTACCATAAGTCAGTCCTGGACATTTATCACAACACTGCGAGAGAGGAATGGGCAGTCTTGAGATACTGCCAGGGAAGGGAGGGAGGGGGGAGGCCACGTGTCATCACAAAGAGTGCCACATCCTACACCAGGGGAACCGGGGACCGGCTGAGGCCCAGACTTCCCCTACAGGCAGACTCTCGTGGACCTAATCCTGACTTGCACCCCACATCTCAACAATAAAACAGAGAGGGGAAAAAAGTTAAATTTAATCTTCATGGCCGGGCTCGGTGGCTCAGCCTGTAATCCCGTGCCTTTGGGAGGCTGCCTGAGCCCGCCTTTGGGAGGCTGCCTGAGCCCGCAGGTTCGAGACCCACCTGGGCAGCGAGACCTCATCTCTACAATAAATCAAAAATCAGCTGGGCATGGTAGCGCATGCCTGTAATTCCGGCTACTTGGAAGGCTGAGGCGGAAGGATAGCCGGAGCCCAGCAGGTCGAGGCTGCAGTGGCCGGGAGCGGCCACTGCACTCCAGTCTGGGTGACAGAGTGAGACTCCAACTCAAAAAAAAAAAAATTTATCTTCACGTCTCAGAACATGCAGATGGCTCTATCACCTTTAATGTCTTACATCTTTTGACATTTTCAAGGACTTAGAAAATAGAGAATTTAATCTGTTGGTCAGTCATTCAAATGTTAAGTTAGCTGAAACACCACAGACGATCTTCAACGTTCTTCTGGACACGGGCAAACACAAAACTCAAAATGTCGTTTTGCTAGGGTTTGAGACTCACAAACAATATTAATCTGAAGAAAGCAGAATCTAACCATTTTAATCTTTAAGTGTATTTTCTCTTTTCATCATACACCGAGAATCTAATACTTTTTAAAATCCCCAGCATGCGACGTCAGTAAGGGAACAGTGAGGCTCAGACAGACACGCGAGCCCCGCAGGGACAGAGCCTCAATTCGCACTGGATGCAGGTTGCGGGCGGGCGCCGGAGGTCGCTGGCTCACCTGGATGAGGAGGCGATGAGTGGGCCACCTGTCGATCGTGCTCCACTTCATCGTGGGCTTCCGCCCCACGCCACTGTAGTATCTGTAGATGGCGTTTAAGCTGCTGCCTGAAACATATAAAGGGTAGCTGAGTGGATGCATCTTGATAAAGGCAAAAAGCAAATTAGTTAAGTCGATGTATATGTTCCAAGCAGCTAACTTTTTCCTGGCCTGGGGAGCTGGCACTGGGGCCACCTTCAAACTACGAAACCAGTCCTAACACACGGGCCACTTCCTCATTCTTACCACCAGGCAGGTCCCAAAACATTTCCAGGCTTCCCCTCACCGATCCTCTGGGTTCTCTAAAATAAAAACTATTAGTTAGGGTTCTCCTTTAAAATTTTAGTCAGTCTAGAGCCATATTTTAAATCATATACACTCTTAGGCTAAGACTCGACTTCCAAAAAAATAAGCAGGTTCAAACCTTGGTGAATAAAATACAGTGAACAGAAGAATCCAAATGGATTCCATTCAAGGTTCAAAAACAAGTTTTCCAGGAATCACCAAGAAGTCACCACCATACGCACACTGCAAACCACATTTCACAGGTAGATACCATTTTCAGATGTGCAGAAGGACCTCTGGAAGCTGCATTAGCTCTTTCAGGTCACTCGGAAACATTCGCTAAATGACCAGAAGTCATGAAGAAGGGGAAAGGGTAACTGAGAAACCTGCTTGTTATAGCAGCACAGAATGCACTGATTCTGCCACACCAGTGCACATCTGAAAGATACAACAGATAAACGGCACTCAAGTGGCCTCAGAGGATGAACGTGCTTCCCAAAGGCTTTCACAGCTCAGAAGTAAAGATGCACCTGTCCTTACATGTGAGATAAGGTTAGAGAAAAACTGAGCATACACAGAGGTTTTCAACACACTTGTTAGAGCCAGCTGTGAGATGAAAACCAGTCAATCCTTTGTCATATAAATAACAATCTTCTTAATTTATCTAACCGTGGGAGCAGACATTTACATGTTGAGATCTACTTTTTAAAGCAAGGCAAAAGTACAGCTTAAAAATAACAAGCTCTGACTCATTCTTCAATAACACAGTAGCAGATATTCTGAAGCTGTAGTGGCACATTTCCAAAAGAAATGACAATGCAAACTCTTGAGGGTGTCTGAGAACTCAGGCATTTTAATAGGTGCGCTGAACAAATCTTTAAGGCACACAACAAGCTTTGGATGTTTCTTCCAGTAGCCTTTTGTTTCTCCTTATAGTTACAGAAATGATGCGCATGAAGATTCAAAAGCAATCTGGAAGGAAAAATGCGCGGACCTCAGTCTTTGGAACACAGTGCAAACACCCACTGCCTGTGGGTGACAGTGGGAGCCCTGGCTACATTTAATGATACAGAGATCACCAAACCCAGATTGTTTCCAGCTCAGTTAAATATACAGGGAACAATAAGCAGTGAACAGCTTCCAAAATCAAGAAGTTTGCCAAGGGAATCCCAAACTGGGCTTGAGTTTTACCAGCGACCAACCCATAACTGAAACACGCGCATGCGTGCGCGCACGTGCGCGCGCACACACACACACACACACACACATCACTATTTCTCATGTTATATGGGCATCTCCACTTTCAAAATGGAAACAGCTATCACATTTGCTGCATTGTTAAGAAAATCAACTCAAAGTTGAGGTGGAAGGATCGCTGGAGCCCAGCAGGTACATGCTGGGGTGGCTGTGAGTGTGCCACTGCAATCTAGCCTGGGCTACACTGAGTGAGACTCTAACTCAAAAAAAAAAAAAATCAACTCAACCACAAGCAGCCATTTGCCATTGCCTTCCTAGACTCTGGTGTGGCCATGTGTTCTTTGAGCTATGGCTGTCGCCATGCTTGGGGAGGTGAATCTTCTCTCTCTCTAATTTACTTTTAAATAAGCTATATTTTTCAATTTAAAAAAAGAAGAAAAGAAAATCAGGGTAGCCATACAAAGGTTTACTGCACAAACCTAGAAAGTGGCTTAAGGTTCATTACTGATCTGTTATGCGATGGCACTGAAGTCCCCAGCACTCGCAGCCGCCACCTTCTGCCATTTGTAATTCCCAGTCAACTGGCCAATAACTCAGGGGACAGATGAACCATGAGATTCAAAGAGACTGACCTGAGCTCTCGCGTTTAAAGAGGACAGACCGGATTTGCCGTTCAAATCACATGACTTATCCTTTTCTTCAGCAAGCAGACTCCCGGGGTGTTTCTGCCAGGGCCATGCCTACCTTCCCTAGAGCACAGAGACACCCTTACCTGTGGTGGAGCAACTGTACTGTGGATACTGAGTGAAAGCAATTGCCCTCTCCAGGCCATCTCTCTCCATCTCGTCGATTGCTTCTTCTGTTAGCGGGTGGACGTACCGAAATCCAATATAGTACTTGTGAGGGGCTGTTAGGAAGCACGTGAGGAAAGGAGAAAGTATTCATCTTTACACAGATTCCTTGGAGCCACCAAACATAATGCGATGCCCAGAACAAAGAAGGGTTCACCTAATCTCCCTTGGTGTTGATAACATGGGCAAGTTTAGAACATTCCTGGCAGCTCACCCACTCCTCAGCTGGTACATGGATTTTTTTTTTTTTTGAGTTGGAGTCTCACTGTCGCCCAGACTGGAGGGCAGTGGCCGCTCCCGGCCACCGCAGCCTCGAACTGCTGGGCTCCGGTGATCCTTCCGCCTCAACCTTCCGAGTAGCCAGAATTACAGGCGCGCGCTACCACGCCCGGCTAATTTTTTTAATTTATTGTAGAGGTGAGGTCTCGCCAAGTTGCCCAGACGGATCTCGAACCCGGGGGCTCAGGCAATCCACTCACCTCAGCCTCCCAAAGGCGCGGGATTACAGGCTGAGCCACCGAGCCTGGCTGGTACATGGATTTTAATCACGATTTTTCTGGGAGCAACATCCTGCCCACACCCGTTTACTTAGCACAGTGGTTTTTAAAACTCAAACTTCTGTTCCTAACTCTGTTCTTGGTTGGCATAAGAGACACTCAAGAGAAGGAAAGAAAAAATAATACTTATGCCTGAAATAAAAGCTCCTCTTACATACTGGACACTGTAGTAGAAACTTGGCAGTTTCTTTTTTCTCATTTAAACCCCAATTTTTCAGATAAGGAAACAGAGGCTCTGAAGGTTAATCAACTGACCAACGTCACACCCAGCAGGTGGTCAGTTGAGCTGGAATCAGGGCCTGTGTCCCCCATCCCAGAGCCCACGATTCTTCTTCGCCTCCACCCTGCTCCTATCATGCAGCTCCCTCAGTTCTCAGGCCTCAGAGCTTATATCAACAAGTGCGTGAGGCTGGGTGTGGTGGCTCATGCCTCCGATCCCAGCACTTTGGGAGGCCAAGGCAGGAGGATTACTTGAGCTCAGGAGTTCGAGACCAGCCTAGGCAATATGGTGAGACCTCGTCTCTACAAAAAATCAAAAGAATTACTCAGGTGCAGTGGTGTGTGCCTGTAGTCCCAGCTGGGGCAGAAGGATTGGAAGGATCACCTGAGCCCAGGATGACAATGCTGCAGTGAGCTGTGACTGTGGCACTGCACTCCAGCCTGGACAACAGAGTGAGACCCAGACTCCAAAAAAAAAACAAGAAAGAATGTGACACACAAAACTGCCACAAGAAACATTTAGGCGAGGGAGAAGACAGGCATCAATTCCATATACGCCGGGCACATACACGACGTGGAGGACATTCTCCCAACTTGACCCTGGGAACTAGGAACTAGGGGAACGTGTTATACTGTTAGGTGAGCGCAGCATGTGTGCACAGGAAGGATGGCCTGACTCAGTGTTCTCTGGGGACTGCAAAGAGGAAGCATTTTCAGCTCTCTGTCCCTTGCAAGCCACCGATTGTATGCTATCTTGCATAAATATGGTGAATAGCAGTTAAAACACATCAGAGGACATGATCCTATACACAAACTCCAAATGACTGATTGTTCAAAGAGTATGTGCTTCATGCTAAAAACTGCCAACTGTCACAATACCATGAAGTTCATTTAAGCAACTCTTGGTGATGTGAGCTGAGGTTTAGCAAGCGAGTGGAAATTGCTTTCTAATCTCTTTTGAGACAATGCAACTGTCAGAATGCCACAGTAAGATCCCCAATGCTATCCAGTATCTGAAGATTGCAGTCTAAATGCCTGGGATCTGGGAGCTCTTCAAATGGAGATTAAGAGGTGGAAAGACTGTTCTTGCAGATAAAGGCAGGGTGGGCAGCCACATTGAAAGTAAGAGAGAGTAAAATACTCTGGAAAGAACAGATAGTGCTTTCTAAGGCCAGCCTGTAAACGTATACTTTAAAGAAAATGGCAATGTGCTTTCTGTCCTGAGGAACGAACAAACAGTGTTCACAAGGCCCCTTGCCCACCAAGGTGGGCTGCAGCTGGCTGTCCCCAGCAGGAAGACACAGGGAGGGGAAGGAGCCTCTCTGATGCTAACCAGCACATCTGGTGGGCACCATATCCGACCCGAATGAGCCCCAAACACAGGACTCACTGGCCTAGCCTCGAGTGGTTGCCCAATGAACAATGAACAGACAGAAACTGGATTTTTTAAACAGGAAAATTTCACTAATTTAGCATGTACAATAGTTCCAAGTGTCTGATTTATATGTGATTATTTGAAAGAAGTTTTGAAATACCTAACATACTGCTTTTTAATTTGTATCATTCAGATCATGAACACTATGTCAACAATGAACAATATTAAAATCTCACTTTTACTGAATTTTTGCCACATACCACATACCTTGCAACTGCCTTGCGGGATTCTTATTTAATTTTCTTTTTCTTTCCGAGTTGGAGTCTCACTCTGTTGCCCAGGCCGGAGGGCAATGGCACTCTCACAGCCACTGCAGCCTCTACCCGCGGGGCTCAGGCAATCCTTCCACCTCAGCCTTCCGAGTAGCTAGAACTACAGGCACACTCTACCACTCCCAGCTAATTTTTTAATTTATTGTAGAGACGAGGTCTCACCAAGTTGCCCAGGCTGGTCTTAAACCCCTGGCTCAGGCAATCCTCCCACCTTAGCCTCCCAAAGTCCTGGGATTACAGGCTTGAGCCATGCCCCCAGCCTTATTTAATTTTCACAAAGATCCTAGGAGTTGGGTTCTCTTATTGTCCCCGTTTTTTGAGATGAGGCCTATTGAGGTAACAGAGCTGCCTGAAGTCATACAAACAGCACTTGGGAGGCAGCACCTTTCTGAACGAGAATCCACGTTCTATCCATTCAGCATCCAGTGGAGAAATGGATTATTCCAAGTCGACACTGCTTGCAGCTACATTAAAAACAATCACAATCTGGCTGGCCATAGTGGCTCATGCCTGTAATCCCAGCACTTTGGGAGGCTGAGACAAGAGGGTTACCCGAGTCCAAGGGTTTGAAAACAGCCTGGGAAACTTGGCGAGACCTTGTCTCCACAACAAATCAAAAAATTAGCCAGGTGTGGTGGCGCGTGCCTGTAGTTCCAGCTACTTGGAAGGCTGAGGCGGAAGGATTGCTTGAGCCCAGCAGGTATAGGCTGCGGTAGCCGTGAACGTGCCACTGTCCTACAGCCTGGGCATCAGAGTGAGACTCTGACTCAAAAAAAAGAAAACTAAATAAGATAATCCTGCAAAGCAGTTGCACGGTTAATAAATAGCAATCACAATCTAAACAATTAGACGATCATTTTTAAAGCACATTTTAGACTGAAACTATCCATCAGATGATTAAATTCTTTGTCTATTGCCTTCTCTATTTTCTGTATTACTGAAATGCAGTGTTAACACTATGAAACCATTTCCCCTCTAGGTCCCCTCCTGTAACTCAGTCTTAGTTAACTGGTCAATTCTAGGCAAGGCCAGTGCAAGTCTCAAAGTTTCCACACTGGCTACCAAGCAACAACTCCCTACAAAATGACAGCATGAAACACTTCCATCTGTTTGCAATCATCATATTTTCTTGCCTAAAGAGAATTTTTTCCTAATACAAATAAATAGATGTAGTTCAAAGGTAAGCTTTATAATCGTGTAGGAAAGAAGTGATCAGAAGAAAGGAAGAATGAGAAAGAGACAGAGAGAAATGGAACAGAGAAAACATGAAGGGGGTGAGGGGGAGAGGGAAGTGACTGCTGGCCCCACCCAAAGAGGCACATGGGTCTTCCCCTCCAGCTTCACGCCCACATGGTGAAGTGTACATAGCAGGACAAGAGGCTACCTCTTTCCAGGGAAACTGGGAAGCCCCTGAGGGAGCCACAGAACCACATTTACTGATCTTCTTGACTTCAACGCAAAACTCCCCACAGGAGTTTCCAAGATTTGAGACTATTTCACGTAACCCATATTCCCCATGTGCTCACTAGCCCTCATACACACCTTGGGCGCCATCTCCCCAATAAGTCTCCAAAAGCTATTCTCTCTGCCCCGTAGGCAGACTGGACTGAAGCAGTAAGGTCCCACCAGACTGAAAGCTTCTGGTAAGTAGAAACCTTGGCTTTTGACTTTGAATAGCAGCAGCAAATGCTGCCAGGCATTCAATGGGCCGCTGTCGAATGAATGAGTGGGTGGTCTTGGGCCTTATTCAATGCCACTACTGTACCCCCAAGCAGGCCTGCTAAATGACTGGATGGTCATCTACCACCCAAAAGAAAGCCAAAATTCACCCCGCCTGCCTCAGAGGGTCCCAAGCATGGGCCATAGAGGATGGTGATAGGTCAAAGGTTATCAGTGCCAATGACTGTCCTGAGCCAGGACCCTGGACAAGTTTCCAAGATCCAGAGAAACCACAAGCACCTCCCAAGAAGAGTGACCACCTGCCTGCCTCAGAGAAAACTACCAGGAAGCTGTGCTGCATGATGGTGAGGGTGTGGTTTACTCACTGCTTTATCCCTAGCACGTGCCTGACACGTGCTCAGTGCTTATAAGTATCGGGAGGGTGGCTGGATGGATGAAGGATGGATGGAATGGGGATTAACAGGTGAAAGAGTGGGTGAGTAAGTAAGTGAGCAAGTGAGTGGAACAAACACGGGAAGAAAAACCATTTCCTGCTGCCCTGGGAACACCGCAGGGACTGGACAGGCAAGCCAATGAGCAGATACGTCCGTGACACACACCTGGGACTTATCCCTCAATTTACAATAAATAATGGACTTTTAAAAATAAGTCTCAGCCAGGTACGGTGGCTCATGCCTGTAATCCCAGCACTTTGGGAGGTGGAGGAGAGAGGATTGCCTGAGCCCAGGGATTCAAGACCAGCCTGGGCAACTTGGAGAGATCTTGTCTCCACAATAAATCAAAAAAATTAGCCGGGCGTGGTGATATGCACCTGTGGTTCCAGCTCCAACTCAAAGAAAACAAAGTGTCTGCAGAACAGAATGCTTAATTGCTGAACCTTCTTATAAATCACTTGCACAACAATTTTGACTTATGTAAATAAAAAGCGGGTATTATTATTATTTGGTCCCTACTGAAGCAGAGAATACTTCATCTTAGAACCTGCAAGCTTGGAGCTTCCCCTCTTGGCACGAAACAGCAACATATTAAAATGATCAGACTCCCAGTAGTGAGTGGGACACTGGGTAGAAACCAGGCCATTCTGTGAGACTCTCTCCAGGCCATCATGGGAGGCTGAGGCCGCAGTTGGGTTGACTGTTCTAAGCAACCCAGCAGCCTCCCCAGAGACACGGGAGGAGATGGGAGGCACGCCCCTCGGTCTGAATCCCCTTTCAAGTCTGACAACTCTACTAGGGCTTTGTTGTTGTTGTTGTTTAAGGAGATGAGTCTCACTATGTAGACCGGGCAAAGTGCAGTGGCTATTCACAAGGGTGATCATAGCACATTATGGCCTCAAACTTCTAGGCTCGGGTGATCCTCTCGCCTCAGCCTCCTGAGGTGGTGTGTCCTGCAATCACTTGTACCTTGGATTTGATTAACTACAGCACTTATAGTTCATTGAAACATTCAGTGTTATATCCTGCACGTTACTCCTCTGTGTAGAGGTTCTCAGATACATATGATTATCTTTTTCGTTTATTGGTTCGTAATAAACCCTTGATCATGACAAACAGTTATTGACTAGAGCATTCGCTCTCTACCACATGAGTGGGGGGCAGCCACGTCTCCCTCGGCCACATTTGGAAAGATGCACTGTGCCACATGTAGCTGAACTGTAAAAGAAATGCCCTCAAGCCACAGCTGATGGCAGGAATCAAGCTGAATACGCAGAAGCATAAGCGAACAATCTTCCAGGTGAGATGATCTGCTAAGGGACTACAGCCCTTGTCCCCTGGTGCAATGGGAAACGGTGGCCTCTAAGAGTAACTTGAGTTGACGCTCAAGGATGTCTTCTCAGAGAAGAGGAAGATGCTCCTTTGGCCCTGCCTAGAGGGGCTGTTCTTGAGGGTGCCCACGGTCTCACACACCTGTCCTGTCCTGAAGCCCTAAAATGTCTTTGCAATGAACATATTTCATGTGTCCTAAGATGCACATTTTTTCAGTTTCAACATTTCTCATGCTGGTCCACCTCTACCACAGGTGGTATCTTAAAATTAACTGGCAGTGTTGTGTCCTTGTTTATACAAAAACGGCAGTGTGTCCTGCAATCAGTTGTACCTCGGATTCAATTAAATACAGCACTTGTAGCTCACTGTGCAACATTCACTGTTTCATTGAGGTTCTCAGATGCCTATAATTCTCTTTGATGCCATATCCACAGAGGTCCGTCAGAACCTCACGATGGTTGGTGTGGCCAAGATCTGGGAGCAATGGCTGGAAGTTGCTTATACCTTGTGGCTTCTGTGATGGCTATCTAATTCTGCTCTAAATGCTCTAATTAGAAATCCAACCAGAAAGAGAAGGCAATCGTGGCAGCCTCAATCCATTTCCCAACGATTTCTTTCCAGCACAATGATATCTGCATCTTTTATTTATGGTATGTTGCCTGTGCCTTAAAATCTAGCTCAACTTCACAAACACCTTAAACTGCCATTGGAAACTAATGTTCCAAATCCTTAGCTTTTGTATTTGTAATCTAAGAAGTAATGGAAAAGGGTATCACCATGTATGATGCAAAAATTCCCACCAGTCGAGAGATGCCAGTTCAGACAGCATGTGGTGTCCAAGGCTGTTTTTAATTTCATTACTACTTTGTTTTGGTTTTGGTTTTTTTTGAGTAGGAGTCTCACTCCGTCACCCAGGCTGGGTGCAGTGGCACACTCACAGCCACCCCAGCGTCGACCTGCTGGGCTCAGGCAATCCTTCCGCCTCAGCCTTCCAAGGAGCTGGAACTACAGGCACGCACTACCACGCCCGGCTCGTTTTTTAAATTTATTTATTGTAGAAATGAGGTCTCACCAAGTTGCCCGGGCTGGTCTCAAACCTGCGGGCTCAGGAGATCCGTTTGCCTTGGCCTCCCAAAGTGCTGAGCCACCAAGCCCGGCCTCATCATTACTTTGAAAGGACACTGCTTGGGATATGTTGATGAAGAGACACCATACCTGTGTTGGGGGACAACTTGTCCAGCAGCTTCACCATGCCTTCTCCCTGCTTGCAAGTCCACATCTTGATGGGGGATCCGCCTCCAATCCTGCGGTACTGCTCTTGAATCTTGGGGGTTCGGCGTTTGGCGATGAAGGGCGCCAGTTTACTAAAATCAGTTCACAAGGAGAGAAGTGAATTTCAGTTCACCTGAGCAACCTGAGAAACACTTTCTACTCAATAGAAAAAAGATAAACAAAGTTTTAGGAAGAACCTAGCAAGACTGACCCTTTAAAAATAGAAGCTTGAGGCCACGCAGTGGTTCATGCCTGTAATCCGAGCACTTTGAGAGGCTGAGGCAAGAGGATTGCTTGAGCTCAGGAGTTCGACACCAGCCTGGGCAACACAGCGAGACCTTGTCTCTACAAAATAAAAAATAAAAAAAGCCAGGCTTGGTGACTCAGCCTGTAATCCCGTGCCTTGGGAGGCTGAGGTGAGTGGATTACCTGAGCCGGCAGGTACGAGACCCGCCTGGGCAACTTGGCAAGACCTCATCTCTACAATAAATCGCAAAATTAGCCAGGTGTGGTAGCACGTGCCTGTAGTTCCAGCTACTTGGAAGGCTGAGGTGGAAGGATCACCGGAGCCCAGCAGGCTGAGGCTGCAGTGGCCGGGAGCAGCCACTGCACTCCAGCCTGGGCGAGAGTGAGACTCCAACTCAAAAAAAAATAAAAAAAATAAAAAAAATTGCCAAGCATGGCGGCACTGTAGTCCTAGCTATTCAGGAAGCTGAGGTGGAAGGATCACCTGAGCCCAGGAGGTCAAGGCAGTAGTGAGCCACCATCATGCCACTGCACTCTAGCCTGGAAAACAGAGTGAGACCCTGACTCAAAAAATAAATAAATAGATGAATAAGTAAATTAATAAGCTTGAGGTTATTGATAGTAGCTAGCTTTCTTGAAGAGCTAAGAGTTAATTCTCTTAAAGAATTAAGCTAAGGTTGGGTTAAGTGGCTCAGCCTGTAATCCCAGCACTTTGAGAGGCCGAGGTGAGTGGATTGCCTGAGACTGTGGGTTCGAGACCAGCCTGGCAACTTGGCAAGACCTCGTCTCTACACTAAATCAAAAATGAGCCATGCGTGGTAGAGCGCACCCATAGTTCTGGCTCCTTGGAAAGCTGAGGCAGAAAGATCACCTGAGCCCAGCAGGTCAAGGCTGCGGTGGCTGTGAGCATGGCACTGCCCTCCAGCCTGGGCGACAGAGTGAGACTCCAACTCAAAAACAATAAAACAAAACAAAAAAAGAATTAAGCTAGACATTCTGGGAGGACTACCTACCTCTGCCCTACAAGCTGTTCTAGCAACACTTCCTGAAGACTCAGGACACACAACACCCATGCCCAGAACCCTGGAGGTGTGCTAGCTGCTAGCTTAACACATTTTGATCCTGTACCAAACTAGACCTAGGATAGGAAGCATATATTCCTCTTAATTAAAAACAAGTGCCCAGGTCAGGCGTGGTGGCACACCCCTGTAATCCCAGCACTTTGGGAGGCAGAGATGAGAGGATTGCCTGAGCCCAACTATTCAACACCAGCAAGGGCAACTTGGTGAGACCTCTTCTCCACAGCAAATCAAGAAAAGGGCCAGGTGTGGTAGCTCATGCCTATGATCCCAGTACTTTGGGAGGCCGAGGTTAGAGGATTGCCTGAGCCTGTGGACAACTTGGTGAGACCTCATCTCTACAATAAATCAAAAAATTAGCCGGGCGTGGGGGTGCGTGCCTGTAGTTCCAGTTACTTGGAGGCTGAGGCAGAAGGATCACCTGAGCCCAGCAAGTTGAGGCTATGGTGGCTGTGAACATGCCACTGCACTCCAGCCTGGGCAACAGAGTGAGACTAACTCAAAAAAGGGAAAAAAATAAATCGAGAAAAATTAGCCAGGCATGGTGGTGTATGTCTATAGTTCCAGCTACTTGGAAGGCTGAGTCGGAAGGATCACCTGAGCCCAGCAGGTTGAGGTTGCAGTGGCCGTGAGCATGCCACTGCACTCCAGCTTGGATGACAGAGTGAGACTCTGACTCAGGAAAAAAAAAATGCCCATTCATCCTATAGATAGACTTGCATACGTGAGCAAAGATGCATGCACAAGCATGTTCACTACAACACTGCAAACAACATAAGTGTCCATCAGTGAAGCACCAGTTAATGCAATTCTAAGTCACCATGAAAAAATGAGCCAGATCTATATCCTCCGTAAGGAAACAAGATCCAGTGTTAAGTTTTTTGGTTTTTTGGTTTTTTTTGAGTCAGCGTCTCACTCTGTCACCCAGGCTAGAGGGCAGTGGCATGTTCTTGGTCACCACAGCCTCAACCTGCTGGGCTCAGGAGATCCTTCCGTCTCAGTCTTCCAAGTAGCTGGAATTACAGGCACGCACCACCACGTCTGGCTAATTTTTTTGTTGTTGTTATTTGTTGTAGAGATGAGGTCTCGCCAAGTGCCCGGGCTGGTCTCAAATCTGCAGTCTCAGGCAATCCTCTCACCTCAGCCTTCCAAAGTGCTGGGATTACAGGCATGAGCCACTGTGTCCAGCCCAGTGTTAAGTTTTTAAAAGAAAAGCAAAGTTCCAAACACTGTACATAAATACATTCACATTTGCATAACAAAGTGAAGAGTGTGTGTGTGTGTGTGTGTGTGTGTGTGTGTGTGTGTGCGCACACGCGCTTGGATATGCATGAACTATTTCTGGATATAACTGCTTACCTCCGGGGAGGCTGGAGTTCAAAGTGAAAGGGACACTTGCCTTATACTATACTTTTATAGTATTTGCATTTTTTTTTAGTTGGAGTCTCATTCTTTCACCCAGGCTGCAGTGCAGTGGCATGCTCACAGTCACCGCAGCCTCGACCTGCTGGGCTCAGGCGATCCTTCTACCTCAGTCTTCTAAGCAGCTGGAACCACAGGCACATGCTACCATGCCCAGCTAATTTTCTGATTTATTGTAGAGACGAGGTCTCACCAAGTTGTACAAGCTGGTCTTGAAGCCCTGGGCTCAGGCAATCATCTGGCCTCTGCCTCCCAAAGTGTTGGGATTACAGGCATGAGCCACCATGCATGCCCAGCATTCACTACTTGCATTTTTAATCCCGTGCATGCATTAATTTTTCATTACAAAAACCTATTTGGAAATAAAAAAGCAGAGAAGGAAGAAAGGGAGCGAGGATGAAAGGAAGAGGAGAAAGACAGCAACAATCCATACCCACAGCATAGTGAATAATAATCACTACTTCCCTGACTGTTTAATCAGCCGCTAAGTGCCAAGTACAAATATATCTTCAAAAATCTTTAAAGGTACTTAGGCTGTGTCAAGACAAGACAGCTTCCAGGGCTCTAGGAGAGGAAAGGGCCTGGAGAATTCTCACTAACTTGTCTTTTCTCCCCTGCAAGTCTTGACATGTCATACCCTTCCGAGAGACAGCAGAAAATAACGCCATTGCTTTCACTGTTGCTATATAAGCATTAAACCCACTTGTTGTTTTGAAGCTATAGAGTTGGGAGATACATGTAAGACAAAATGCACTGTATACATTATTTAAAGAGTACAGGTGTTTCTATGCATCTTACTTCTGGACAGGAAGGGTCATGAGGTCTCGGTCCAAGAAGAGCCTGAGAAGGAAATCGTGAACGTCGCCGAGGGTTTCAGGTCCCCCCATGTTCAGCATCAATATTCCAGTTTTCGGCTTCCTACATAAAACAAAATGCAACCGTTGGTCAGTCACGCTTTTTATTTTCCTCTAGGGTGGACTCTTGGCTCAGCTAGCAAACTCACGTCTAATCTGTTCAGTGCCAGGGTAAAGACTACAGCTCTTTGGGCTGCTATCACATGGCTCCCTACTCGGTAGGGGTGAGGCTTCTGTTTCTTCACGGCCAAGTACAGACTCTGATCTTCATCTCTGGGCACCTTGCATGACATTGGTATTCTCTAGGCTCTAAATGTTTCCCTTTCAAGTGTCAGCCTAAAGTAAGATACAATGCTTTAGGGACTGAGAGTCAAGGCAGAAATCTCCAACTGCCCTGAGGCCAAAGTGCCTGTCCATCTGAATGCCTTATGGATACAAAGGTGGCCTGACGTGTCCCAGCTTCGGGCTTCTCACTGGGAAAACAGGCGTCCACCACCCACCTCCAAAAGTTGTCTTGGGTGGGGAGCACACCTCATCAACAAGGGTACCTGCATAACGAACGTTTGCATATCTAACCCCAAATTGTATCACACATCTTTAAAATAAAAAATTTTAAAGTTAAAACAATTTTTTTTTTAAGTTGTCTTGAGAATTCAGTGGGTAACGTACTCAGTTGCCCAATGACAGTTTCCTGGCACACAGTAAGTTCTGTTGCATAGGAAGAAGAGTTCCCTTATAACATTAAGCTTCTGAAGTTTGATATCAGCTCATCTCTCACCCTTTCAGCTGCTCCCTTCTCTTTAGTCAATTATTAAATTAGGCCAGGCTCGGGGACTCACATCTGTACTCCCAGCACTTTGGGAGGCCAAGGTAGGAAGATTGCTTGAGCCCGGGAGTTTGAGACCAGCCTGGGCAACATAGTGAGACCTCGCCTCCATAAAAAGTAAAAAATTAGCCAGGTATGGTGGCGTGCACCTGCAGTCCCAGCTACTTGGTAGGCTGCAGTAAGAAGATTGCCTGAGGCCAGGAGGTTGAGGCTGTGGTGAGCCATGTTCATGCCACTGCACTCCTGCCTGTGTGAGAGACCTTGACTCAGAGAAAAAATAGATTAATTAAATGACTACCAACATAAATTACTGCTTGCTCCTCTGCTTCCTTCTCCAGTACTTGCCTTTACTCCTCTTTCCGTCTCCTGTTATGACAAATGACATCCTTCACTTGACACTCACCTCACTACCCTTCATGGAAATCCACTGCTTGATTAATTCCTGCAAAAAATGATGCTAACATTCAAATGAGTACCAAGCTAAAGAATCAAGCATTACATGAGCAGGAATAAGGCAAAAAACAAAGCAAAACGTTATCATGAAAGTTTTAAGTCAAGCAGCTTCAGAGAGACTTAAAAATCAAAAGTGTTATGCAAACATGCAAACTTCTTTTTTTTTCCGAGTTGGAGTCTCACTCTGTCACCCAGAATGGAGTGCAGTGATATGCTCCCAGCCACCACAGCCTCAATCTGCTGGGCTCCAGCAATTCTTCCACCTCAGCCTTCCAAGTAGCTGGAACTACAGGCACGCACTACCATGTCCGGCTGACTTTTTGACTTATTGTAGAGACGAGGTCTCGCCAAGTTGCCGAGGCTGGTCTCAAACCCATGGGCTCAGGCCATCTACTTGCCTTGACCTCCCAAAGTGCTGCCAAACATGCAAACTTCTAAGATCCGGAACAAGCTCTGGCGCCTACACAACGTAGGGTGAGCCAGGCCAGGAGTTCTCTGCTCCTAAACCCACCAGGGGGCAAGGTGAAGCCAGAGCAGAACCTGATGCCCCGGCATGCCCTGGGAGCCGCTGGAAGGCCAAGACTGGAGGCATGGGACTAGAAGGCCAGAGTCAGAGCTGGGCTGTGGAGAACAGGCCTTGTGTTTCCCCTTGGCCAAGTCCCATGTGAGGCAGTGATGGGGAAACTAAAGGACACAGAGTGCTGCTTCTATTCATTCAAATATTTTTGCATTAAAAAAATTGAAGGCCAGGCTCAGTGGCTCAGCCTGCCATCCTAGTGCTTTTGGAGGCTGAGGCGAGTGGACTGCCTGAGCCCGTGGGTCCGAGACCCATCCAGGCAACTTGGTGAAACCTTGTCTCTACAATAAATCAAAAAAATTAGCCGGGCATGGTAGCGCACACCTGTAGTTCCAGCTACTTGGGAGGCTGAGGCAGAAGGATCGCAGGAGCCCAGCAGGTCGAGGCTGCAGTGGCCGGGAGCGTGCTACTGCACTCCAGCCTGGGTACCACAGTGAGACTCCAACTCAAAAAAAAAAAATTGAAGCAGGCTGGGTGCAGTGGCTCATGCCTATAACCCCAGCACTTTGGGAGGCCAAGGTGAGAGGACTGCCTGAGCCCGCGGGTTCGAGACCCGCCTGGGCAACGTGGCGAGACCTCGTCCCCATAATAAATCAAAAAATCAGCCAGGTGTGGTGGTGCACACCGGTAGTTCCAGCTACTTGGAAGGATCGCCTGAGCCCGGCAGGTCGAGGCTGCGATGGCCATGAGCATGCCACTGTACTCCAGCCTGGGCGACAGAGTGACACTCCGACTCAAAAAGAAAAAGAAAAAGAAAAAGAATTAAAGTAGGTGGCAATGTCCTAACTGTATACGTGTTGTCAGGCCCAAAAGCCTCTTCCATCCTTATCAAGGGAGTGCTAACCTTCTCTCCTTCCAAACAACACAAGATAGAATTCACATACCATAAAACTCCCCGGTTTAAACTGAACAATTCAGTTGCTTTTAATACATTCAGAAGGTTGAAAAGCCATCACGACTATCTGATTCTAGGGCAAGAAACTTGGTATCCATTAAAGCCACTCCCCACTCCCTCTCTTCTCAGCCCTGACAACCACTCATCCACTTCCTGAGTCCATGGATTTGCCACAGAAATGGAATCACACAACTGTGTCTGGTTTCTTTCACTCAGTGTAAAACATTCGTGGTTCATTCACAGCATAGAAGCAATCAGTACACGCTACTCCTCTTTATTGCTAAATAATATTCTACTGCATGGTTATAACCTCATTCACTCTATTTTTTTATAACTTTTTCCCCCCAAAGACAAGGTCTCACTGTCTCCCATGCTGGAGTGCAGTGACACAATCATAGCTCGCTGTAGCCTTAAACTCCTGGGCTTAAGAGATCTTCCTACCTCAGCCTTCTGTGTAGCCGAAGCTGCAGGCATGTACGTAGGATGGCGTTTTGCTGTGTTTCTCAGGCTGGCCTTGAGCTCCTGACCTCAAGTGATCCTGCCACCTCAACCTCCCAAAGTGTTGGGGTTACAGGCTGAGCCTGGTCTCCATTCACTCTTGATAAAGCAGCTGAGAAATAACCAGCCTGAAAAGTACCTAAAACACCATTAATATAACTGCTGAGGGGTCCACCTCCTAAATCTATTACATCAGATCATCTCTGGCTGCTGCAGTGACTAAAACACCCCTGGTGAGATGGCAATTGTTTGGAAGACTGTTCTTAATATGTTCTAAAACTAATGACATATTAGGCTGGGCACAGTGGCTCACACCTGTAATCCCAACACTTTGGAAAGCCAAGACAGGAGGATTGCTTGAGCCTGAGAATTCAAGACTAGCTGAGGCAACAGAGTGAGAACCTGTCTCCACAAAAAATTTTTTTAAAATGAGCCAGGTGTGGTGGCATGCGCCTGTAGTCCCAGGGACTTACTCGGGACTAGCTAAGTTGGGGTCTTACTCTGTCGCTCAGGCTGGAGTTCAGTGGCACGCTCACGGCCACCCCAGTGTTGACCTGCTGGGTTCCATTGATCCTTCTGCCTCAGCCTTCCAAGTAACCAGAACTAAAGGCATGCAATACCACACCTGGCTAAGTTTTTTATTTATTACAGAGACGAGGTCTCACCAAGTTGCCCAGGCTGGTCTCGAACCCGAAGGCTCAGGCAATCCACTCGCCTGGGCCTCCCGAAGTGCTGGGATGACAGGCTGAGCCACTGAGCCCAGCCACTAATGACATTTTAATGGGCAATTTTTCAACCACAACATAATGTAAGGCAACAGAGTACGTCAAATTTATACAGGTGGGAACCGCTTTCTTGATCAACATGCTGTGGGTGAGTGAGATAGAGATCTGAATTCTCAGCCTAAATTTCCAGAGTAAGAGCCAACTCCTGGGGAAGGGGCAATGTTGCATTACAATGAGGTCAGAGATTTTCTGATTTAGACGCCATTATAAAGATGAACCGGGATCACTTTCACATCATTGTCTTAGACCAGGATGTCTCAGCCTCAGCACTGCTGGTGTCTGGGGTTGGGTTGTCCTTTTGCAGAGGACTACCCTGTCAATATGGGATGTTTAACAGCATACCAGGCCTCCATCTACTAAATGGCATCAGCGCACACCCCACCCTGGTTATAACAGCCAAACAGGTCTCTAGACATGGCCACATTTGTTCCAGAAGGCAAGTGTCCCCTACTCCCTAGGGAGAACCACCATCTCAGAGGAAGTGGATTTAACCCCCTTTTAACTAGGCCAACTATATTAAAGATATCATTGTCATGTAACTTTTCCACACAGAAGTCCTACCACTACATTAACAGTGGTGTTGAGTTTCCTTTCCTTGATGTCTGAAAATTCCAGACGCATTATTTTGTGAAACTGTAATATTCCCTTAATCTTCCTATTTAGAACACCAGTCTTCTCCTGGGATCCTGTCTTGCCCCCTCAAAATCTGTGACTCACAATAAATTAAGTGCATTTTCCCATGGATCGCTGCCAGTTAACAGATTACTGGTTAAAAAACCTCAGGCTAAAAGACTTACCTAAGCCACAGAGGGTATCAATGTGCAAAGGGGATTTTGAGCTGTTTTTTCATCTGTAACACCTGAGCTCAGAACAAGAGTGGCTTTAAAGGGGATGTTACTCTGCCCTGCTCATGGTTTTGCAAGCCCATGTTGATCTCACACATGAAAGAGATGCACACAGTTGGAAAATGCCTAAATGCTCATGCACTTAATTCAAAATGTGTTGTGCATGACAAATAGCGCATTAGCGAGCCCTGGCCCGGCACCCCTCCATTCCAGAATGAGAAGCGCAAAGCTTTAGTCAAGAGTCTTCATCGCTTCTGCCCTCCAGACAGAGCACACCTGAGACCCAGGTCGGCTTGGGCAAGTTCCCTTTGTTTGAGCATAAAAGTGTACCCAGCAAAATGTATTTCAAACTTCTGACTTGAAAGAGTTTCAGTGTTTTGCCATTTTTGTATTCCAGGATTCTCAAAATATGAGGCTTTTTCCTTTTAAAGATTAAATGTACGTAACAGAAGCTTAAGCTCATCAATTAGTAAAGAAACAATAATTCTATTCTACTAAATATGGTCGGCATCAAGAAAAAGTAATACAATCCCAGCTCTTCATCAAAACTACCAGTCTACGCTGCCCCTAGAACAGTTTGGCAAACTACACCACATGCACTACATTTGTGCACACTCTGCCCCCATTGCCTGTTTTTGTAAATAAAGTTTTATTAGAACACAGTTCTACTCATGTATAACTGCCCTCACATGACAACAGCAGAGTTGAATAGCAGCAAAACAGACTGCTTAGCCAACAAAGTCTAAAAAATGTACTACCTAACCCTTTTCGGAACAAGTTTGTCAACCCCTAATCCAGTATAGTGTCTAGTCTAGTATTCTAGTCCAGTCCAGTCTAAGCATTAAGCATCTCAATGCCTTCATCATGCTGAAATCAGACGTTCCACAAAGATACTCATTTCCTCATTTCTAGTATGGAAAACTAGAAAATAACCTATGTGTCTCATAATGTGGGAAGGGATAAGTAAATCATGGTGTAATAAAATAATCTTAAGCTATCAAAATAATATAGAAAAAAATTTATATGATGACAGAGTAACAAAAAGAGGAAATTATAAATACATTATATACAGTACTGTCACATTTTGCTAAGCATTTACTGAGTCAATATTAATAGATCTAGATGTAGAAACAAATACTGGCTAGTAAAATTATCAGTGATTTTTAATCCTTTTTTGTTTATTTTTGCCCATCTGTGTTTCTAAAAGGAAACCATTCCTTTCGTGTAGATATGACATAAAGTAACTTAATTCGGGCATTTTAAAGATTTTTATTAAATTTAATAATTTAACATTAAGATTGTAAGCATCACTGGCTTTTGCCACCGGAATAATACAAGAATGAAAACGCTTTTCTTCCAGGGTTCCACACTGAACAACTTCTTCAGTTTACAACAAATACCTCTTCTAACCCCAAAGGATTCACGGCTGAGGTGGAAGAGAGGCCAGGGAGGAAGGGTGCCCTCCCTGGCACACTGCCACACAGAGAGGATGTCTGTACTTCCCCTTCCTGACCGATTCCTCCCGCCAGGAGGACAGTTCAGAGGAGACAATTTGGGGCCCTCCCCCTAATGCCCTAGCCCCAGTGAGCCTCTTTACTTAGTACTCACAATGAAAAATAACAATACAAAATAAGAATACGAGGGGAGACCTCCCCAAAGAACAGAACTTGTGTATAGCAGTTGTGTATTTATTCTGACATGTCTAAACTGCAGTCACCTTCAAAGTACTCTCCATTTGATGCAATACACCTACTAAGATGCTATTTTCCACTGCTCAAAGCAGTTTTGAGCTTGTCGGTTTTGATGATTTTTAGTGCTTCTGCCATTTTTTGTTATGCCTCTTCCACATCAGCAAAATGTTTCCCTTTGAGGACTTTTTTCATCCGGAGAAATAAAAAAAAAGTCACTTGGGGTGAGACCAAGTGAACAGGAAGGGTGGGGCCCAGGGTCATGCCGTTTTGGGGCAAAAACTGAACACTCAGCATGACACAGGTAGGTGAGCTCGGAAATCGCCCATCATGAAACGGGCAGACGCATTGAAAGAACCACCAAAAAAAAAATCGCTGAGGCCAAACACAGCCTCTCACGACATCGCTGGCTGTACACTGATGCCGATGGGTTCCCAGAACACTTACCTAGTGCGGGAAGCCTACGCCACCAGGGCCCACCCTCCAAATGATAACTCCAGGTTTATTTTGGGTCCCCCGTGTATTTCATTTTCCGAGCTACATAATTTCCATAGAACAATGTGTGGTGTGGCAGAATAGTCAAGGCGTTAAATAGGTCCCAGCTACTTCCTGCCTGGCACTAAAGTGTGATGTTTCCACGTACTCATCTAAATAACTTCTCTTTATAGAATCTCCTGTGGTCTCTGTACAGAGAAAGACTTGGGGACAGACAGCTTTGGCTTCTGTTACCAAAGAGGACACGCAGCAATAATGGACGCCTTCTGCAGGCCACCAGAAGTGAGGCACGAAACAGGTATGAATACTTCATTTATTTAATAAATTATAAATCAAATTATGTCATTTATAATTATGTCCACTGCGTTAACAGATGAAAAACAATAATAGTTTCCCATAGGACTTCTTGGTAGATGTTTTTCTTGGTAGAGACAGGGTCTTGCTATGTTGCCCACGTTGGTCTCAAACTCCTGGGTCAAGTGATCCTACCACCTTGGCCTCCCAGAATGCTGGGATTACAGGTATAAGCCATCATGCCTGGCCTTTGATAGAATATACACTTTGTAGGCTTAATTTATGCTAGTTCATAAATTCATTTCCAGCACACATATAATTGTGTTATGTGACATATTCTGAAACCAGATTCTTACATGATTTACAGAATATTCGTCCTCAGCTATGTGTCCTTTAATAAGAGGCCTGTTCTGGGGAAGGAGTGGCTGGGGAGAAGAAGTGTAAAATCTATGATTTAACAGCTACCAGAAAGAAGCCAAAGCCCAGCATGGTGGCTCACGCCTGTAATCCCAGAATTTTGGGAGGCCAAGGCAGTAGGATTGCATGAGCCCAGGAGTTTGAGACCAGCCTAGGAAACACAGCAAGATCTCTCTCTATATAAAATAAAAAAAATTAGTCAGGCATGGTGGTATGTGCCTGTAGTCTCAGCTACTCGGGAGGCTGAGGTGGAAGGACTGCCTGAACCTAGGAAGTTGAGGCTGTAGTGAGCCGGGATCATTCCACTGACCCCAACTTGGGTGACAGACTGAGACACTGGCTCAAAAAAAAAAAAGAAAGCCAAGGAAACAGTACAGAACTCCTTATGCACTGGGTTTTCCCAGCATCTTTCCTCCTAGGCAACTTGAACATCCTGGTATTCGCAGCAATCTGGGAAATCCTTATTAGTACCTAACGTTAGACTCATACCTCTCCTCCAGTTGAACTTGAAGTTTTGCGCCTTGGGCACGCTGGGTTGTTTCTGTGGTGGCAGCAAATGCTGCTGTCCCGGACTCGTACCTCCACGGCTGACAGGCCCTCAAGCTGCTGGACGCCACTGTGACAAAACGAAAGTGCTGGCATGAAATCTAGCTGAAACCGATTCCTTCTGAGGAGCTCCTTAGAGCATAATCCTGGCTCTAAAATTTAAAGAGATGCAATAGCTGAGATGACTCTCCTAGCATTTCTCTGCAGGCCGGTGAAGGTACTGAAGACCCCTCTCCAAGGGGCTGGCGTGGAGGCTCGCTCCCCTAGGACGGCTAATGAGAACCTGCAGGGAGCCTTTTTAGAAACTACCAGGCCTCCTCTCCCTGCCCTGGCTGCAGATTTTGAAATGATCCCTCATGAGAACCGCTGCACGGGATGAGGAAGAGTGACAGGTGTACGCTGCTCACAAAAGGGACGGGCCTTCAAAAAGGTGAAGATTCAGAGTGGACACGGGGCCACTTTTCAACCAGACACAGATCTCACGTCTGGCCACAAGCCTTCTCCGGCAAAGTACAGTGCTGAGAACCCAGCATCGCTCTTGGACCCTGACGGGGTCGGGGGGTTATGGAAAGGGGGCAGTTCTGCTTTACAGTGCCTGTCCTGGCCCTCCTCCCGCCATGCCCCACCCCACGGAGTGTGTCGTCTATACAAGCAAGGAGACAGGCCTCCCCCAGGGTGAGTGCAAGCCCCAGGCTAGGCTTCCAGGACCCCAGAATTCCTTGTCCCCAAAGACCCTGTCCACTTCCAGGGTTTGGGCAGAACTCTCTCCTGCATCCATCCTCCTGGGGGCAGATGGTACCAGCAGGGTAAGCAAATCTTGACCGTAATGAAGGCCCAGGGATGGTCATTTGCAGGGGAAAGAATGAAGCTGGGACACAGACTGGCGTGGCCACATGTGTGTGCACAAGACTCCTCCCGAGGCAAGAAAGAGCCAGCAGAGGGAAGAGAGGCAGGAAAGCCTGCAGGTCAGAGGCAACTCTCCCAAGGCCTCCACATTCTGCGGATGCTCTAGAGAGTTCGAGAGTTCACCCTTCCGGGTCGTCAGGAAGGCCTATTTGTCCACGTAAGAAGAGAGAACACAGTTCACAGTCTGCTGGTTTGCTGTCTGTCCTGCATAGGAAAAATATGCCTCTGTGTATATACACTTGCCTGGAGAGCCCACCTGAACTGAGGAGTCCGTGTGCCACACTCAGCTGTCCTAGGAACAGTGCTGGTTCTCAAACATCCAGTGAAATGAAATTGAAGCCACAGTGCAGTTACTGAAGATGGCAATGTGAGCAGTTACTGCCATGCTCCGGGCTGCACACGTGACCTCCTTGCCCCTTCTCAAAACGGGTTTGGAACCAGCTTGTGACCTGTCTCCTCCTATCTCCTCCCACCACGAGGCAAAGGTGTCCTGGGAAGGAATTCACGCTGTGGACCAAGCAGAGCTGACTCTGAATCCAGCTCTACCACTTACTAGCAATGGGGCTGGGGTGGGCTTAAAATCTGAGGCCCAGCTCACCGTGGTAGTTCACACCTGTAGTCCCAACAATTTGGGAGACCGAGGCAGGAGGATTACTTGAGCCCAGGAGTTTGAGACCAACCTGGGCAACATAGTGAAACCCACATCTCTACAAATAAATAAACAGCCAGGCATGGTAGCATCACCTGTAGTCCCAGGTACTCGAACTGAGGCTGAGGCGGAAGGATCGCCGGAGCCCAGGAGTTCGAGGCTGTGGCGAGTCGGGATCATGCCACTGTACTCCAGCCTGGGCAACAGGGTGAGACCCCGACTCCAGAAAAAAAATCTCTGAGCCTTAACTTCTCCGGCTGTAAAATAACATCCTGCTACTGGGATGCTTGTGAGAATTAAAGCTGACAGGTGAAGCGCTGGACAGTGTCCCACAAGATGAGTGCCCGCATGCGTTTCAATTGTGAGCTTCCAGAAGATGGGAACTACACCTGCTCTGATTTTTTTAATCACCTAACATGCCTCTAAAATATAAGAGAATGACACCTCCAGACCTCTGAGATTGCCAGCTAATCAGGCAGTGCACGTTCCCAGCAGAGCCAACTATGTGAGCTTGTGCCGAAGAATCTTTACCAACTCAAAGCGGAAGTGCAAAGACTGACATAAAGAAGTCCAATTCCACTCCAATGAAGTCTCAGGCCAACTCTCATCTCCTTATTTTAGACGGCTTTAATTCTGAAAGACACGATGAGACTTAAGCAGGTTCTTAATCAAGCTGCAATGTCCCCAATTTCTTATGTGAATGAGACTGTATCAGATTCTATGGGGACTGAGAAGAAAACTTTGGCATTCCAAAATTTTACTGCTTGTACAGGTTGAGCACCCCAAATCTAAAATCTGAAATGCTCCAAAACCTGAAACTTTTTGAGCCCTGACACGATGCACAAAAGAAATGTTCACTGGAGTACCTCCAGTTTCGGGTTTTCAGATTTGGGATGCTCAACTTGTAAGACATTTCAAAATCTGAAAAAACTTGAGGCCAGGCCTGTAATCCCGGTACTTTGGAAGGCTGAGGTGGGAGGACTGCTTGGGCCCCTGAGTTTGAGACCAGCCTAAGCAACGTAGCAAGACCTTATCTCTACAAAAAACTAGCCAGGCGTGGTAGTGCATGCTGTAGTCCCAGCTACTTGGGAGGCTGAAGCAGAAGGATCACTCAAGCCCAGTCAGTTGAGTGCAGTGATCATGCCACTGCACTCCAGTCTGGGTGATAGAGTAGGGAAAGAAAGAAAGAAAAGAAAGAGGGCAGGAAGGAAGGCAAGGAAGAAACAAAAAGAAAAAAACTTGAAAACCAAAACACTTCTGGTCCCAAGCCTTTCAGACAAGGGATACTCAACCTGTAATAAAATAGCATTCCTGCCCACGTGCGGTGGCTCACCTCAGCACTTTGGGAGGCCAAAATGGGAGATCACTGGAGGCCAGGAGTTCAAGACCAGACTGGGCAACATAGTGAGACTCTCATCTCTACAAAAAGTAAAACAAAAAACAAAAAACTAGCTGGTGGTGGCCTGTAATTCTGGCTATTAGAGAGGCTAAGGCCAGAGGATCACTTGAGTACAGGAGTTAGAGGCTGCAGTGCGCCATGATCACACTGCTGTACTTCAGCCTGGGCAACACAGTGAGACCCTGTCTCAAATCAAAAAAAAAAAAAAAACAAATCCTTCTTCAAATATACAAAAACAAGGAGGGAGGCAACTGGGAGGGGCTAGATCCTCCAATGTGTAGATTAGGATTTGCTAGTGCAATACGGGAACTAGGAGTTTTTCAAGCTGCTTCACCATTGCCACGCCTCCTATTTACAAAATTCTCTTCTCCATGGTTGACCAGATTCTCAGAGAAAAGGGTGATGGTGCCAACGAGGGGACCCTTCCCCTCAGGACACAGAGTTAATATACGCCCCCTCCTCTACCCTAATGAGTTGAAGGTTCTAAAGAAGTGAAGTATCAGCCGGGCACAGTGGCTCATCCTGTAATCCCAGCACTTGGGAGGTCGAGGCGAGAGGATTGCCTGAGCTCAGGGGTTCGAGGCCAGCCTGAGTAACATGGCAAAATCTTGCCTCTACAATAAATCAAAAATCAGGCCAGGGTTGGTGGCTCAATCTGTAATCCCAGCACTTTGGGAGGCCGAAGCGAGAGGACTGCCTGAGCCTAGGTTCGAGACCAGCCTGGGCAACTTGGTAAGACCTCATCTCTATAATAAATCACAAAAACTAGCCGGGCATGGTGGCGTGCATCTGTAGTTCCAGCTACTTGGAAGGCTGAGGTGGAAGGATGGCCTAAGCCCAGCAGGTCGAGGCCACAGTGGCCGTGAGTGTGCCACTGCACTCCAGCCTGGGCGACAGAGTAAGACTCCGACTCAAAAAAAAAAAAAAAAAAAAAGAAGCGAAGAGTCTCCTACCAAGTCATTAGTGTTCATCTAGGTTAAAGGAGCTTAAAGTAATCATTCAAAGGACCAACTGATACTCCTGAAAAGACTCTGCTCACAGCTGAAGGGAAGCTGATAGCACAGGAAGCACCATGCAAGGTACAGGGTGTGTGGTCTGGAGCCGGAGACCTGAGCAGAAATCTCATACAGGACCAACAAGCGGTATGGCTGAACTTGACAACTCACTGAGCCACTGCGGGTCTTACTTTTCTCATCTGTAGGACGTGATAAGGCCAACCGTGCAGGCCTGGTGTGAAGATTAGGGAAGAAATGTCCAGCTCCAAGAACAGCGTCTGGCACACTGCATGGGGTTATGCAAAGAGGTTAAGAATATCCACCGGTACTGACTCGCCTACCTCTGAGCTAAAACCTAGTAATTCTGTCCCTACTCCTTACATGGGCAACTGGTCTAACCTTAGCAGGCCTACAAACAATAAAAGCTATCAAAACGAGAGATACACAGCAGAGCAGAAGATGACATAAGGAAACAAAACTGACTGGGCATGGTGGTTCACGCCTATAATCCCAGCACTTTGGGAGTCCGAGGTGAGAGGATTGCCTGAGCCCACGGGTTCGAAACCAGCCTGGGCAACTTGGCAAGACCTCGTCTCTACAATAAATCAAAAAAATAGCCTTGCGTGGTGGCACGTGCCTGTAGTTTGAGCTACTTGGAAGGTTGAGGCGGAAGAATCACCTGAGCCCAGCAGGTCAAGGCTGCAGTGGCCGGGAGCGGCCACTGCACTCCAGTCTGGGCGATGGAGTGAGACTCCAACTCAAAAAAAAAAAAAGGAAAAAGAAAACAAAACTTCCTTTCTCCTGAGTGTTGCACAACTGTAGCCCTAGCGACTTGGGAGGCTGAGGCAGGAGGATTGTTTTGAGTTCAGGAGTTTGAGATCAGCTTGGGCAACACAGCAAGATTCTGTCTCAAGAAGAAAAAAAAAAATTCTGTTTTAAAAAAAACAAAACAAAGAAACTTCTAACTCCTAGGCAAGCCCATAGATGATCATTTAAAAGTATACCTGTAATTTAAGAAACTCGTGGTTATCAACTAGCTCTTCAAAACCAAATTATTTTACTATTTTGGATGCTTGGGGATGGGACAGAAGAAGTAAGAGGCAAGATACAAAAGTACATAA